GTAATCCTGCATTTGCGGGTAGTTCGGTAGAATTAAATGTCCTTATTCCTTTATATCCGTGGGACTCGCTTGTGCTATCTGTCTCTCTAGCAATCGCGACCTGGTTCATACCACTGTAATGTTAAAAAACATGAATGTTTGCACTCATCCATAAACATTATTAGATCCATCAGCTTGACAGCAAGTCCCATCATTCAGCTCATCACTGCGCCATCAACCTACGCCTTTGTTATTGTTGGAAACTGCGCCCTCTTGTGGCGAAAAAGTCGTACATATTGTGCCTTTAAAAAAAAATCCAAGGATTAATCATTTATCAATAGATTTAATTGTGACTTTAAATTAAAAGCAGAGCAAAGGTGTGTAGAATATCAAATATGAAGGCAGATTAGTGCCATCTGGTGAATAGAAATAAAGAAAATCCTATGTCAGACCAGATGCCTATATAGCCTACATATAAATATTTATGTTCTGTCAGAATACTCGATTCTGATGGGCTGGAATGTGTGCGTTCCAACCGTCTTTGTCTCCACATCGTAGATTCAAATCATGTAATATGTGATTATTTTGTTGTATATTGACATATAAGACAGACATCAAGACAGAACAATGACTACTGGAAATAGTTACTTTCATAGATGTTCACTCTTTCAACTAACACTACAAGTTAAAATACATATTTAATTCTTTACCTTCCAAGTGTAAAGTTTTAAAAATATATATATTCCATGGTCCGTCTAAATACTCAATTCTGATTGGCTGGAAGGTGAGCAATAAAACGTAATGCTTGCTTAATGCATACAGTTCCAAGTCAATTTAATCACTATTCTATTAATTAATGCGCTGCTTTTATTGAAGCACGTGCATGTCACTTGCATACGGACAAGAAGCACCACCAGAACCTCCACCCCCAGGTCTATACGACCTATACCACTCAACATCCCAGTAAAAAGGGAAAGGCATTGCTTCCAATTCAGTTAAACTCCTCTGCGTTTGCACAGACAATACAAATGGCGCAAACGAATGATATCCAAGTTATAAAATCTGGCGAAGATATTTGTCGATGACCAGCCAGCTGCCAGACAAATGTCTTAAATAGACTTTCCGCTCGCTCATCCCCAAGAGGATGCCATGCCTCTAATGAGCTCACAGCCCGCTCAGGCATTCCCTGCCATGTGACGTATAAGACAGGGCTAATGTCACTGAATATTAAGGTCACATCCCAAATAGGTATAGTAGAGCTTCAGACTTCTCGCACCCCTCATAAACTTTATGACCAGGTCATGGTTTCTCACAGAACAATATGTTCTGTGTCAGGCGTGGCGAAGCGGCAAGATGCACGTCAAAGTACCCGCGGCTGCAGGGATGTGCTAAAACCTTGGTTCAGCGACACAATGCACAGCCAAGGAGTGATGATGGGTCAAGTTATCAGGAGGAAAGCTGTCACTATGGACTATGGCTTGCATTGACAGGGAATCTATCTCAGTAGCAATGTTTAAAGCTCAGGGATGAAGGAGACGGGAACCGGCGAACGTTCAACTAAACTTTAATATCAAAATAAACAAACACAAAATGAAAGTAAAGCTGCAGCCCCTCACGGATGACTGTCACATATAAACATAATAAAAACACAATATAAATGTCCACGGCCTGGTCCTCCATCCTCTCTCGTCCTTCACTGTCGTCACTCCTTCTTTTATCCTTCTGGAGCTCCTCTGTGAGAAACTCTGTTCGATTGGCTCTCGCCCCACGCAGGCCGGGGGTTTCCCTCGAGACTGCGCTCTACTCCCCCCGCCCCCAGTCACCGCGGCTGGAAAATGAGATGGAAGGATGAGTAGAGACAGAGACGAGAGAGGAGAGAGAGGAAAAGAAAAAAAATGCATTGCCGCTCGGTCCTCAACCAGCCAGGAGAACCTCTTCGCAATGCCTGGCGTTGGCACTGGATACCCCAGGTGGACGGCCCTCTTCTCCTCCCGTCCCCTGATGGCCGGCAACGGCTCGTAAAAAAAACACACACAACATAAATAGACATGCCTTGTCCTCTCTCGCCCTTTACTGTCGTCGCTCCTCCTTTTATCCTCCCAGAGCTCCTCCGTGAGAAACTCGAGGCTGGTATGGACACCGGCCTCGCTCCATTCCCATGGCTTGCCACATGAACGTAGCCGTTTTAATAACGGACAAATAACAAATAATTTATTGGGAGCGTTCAGGGATGTGTAGATTGTTGTATCTTCAAATTATTTATTGGAAATCTATATGTTTTTTAAAGGGAAGGTGCATATCCTTAGCCTTACCCTGGAATTGGTTCACCCTCAGCCTATGGCAATTTGCATAAATGTTCCACAGTTGGCAAATGTTTCAACTATGCAAAGAGATTTAAACACAGTCATTGTTTAAACACTAATATAATGTAATAAGTACCTCACAAATACATTAGGACCTGGTTTCACAGACAAGGCTTAGTTTAAGCCAGGATTAGGCCTTAGTTCAATTAGGACATTTAGGTAGCTTTTATACACATGCCTTAGAGTAGAGAAAAACATTAGGCTGGTGTGCATCTTAAGACAAAACAATGGCACTGACATATTTTAAGATATGTCAGTGCAAGTTGCTTTCAGTTAAAACAGCTCAAACACGCATTTATAGGCTTAAGCCCTGTCTGTGAAACTGGCCATATGAATTAAAATAACTAAAGATGATAAATTACCACGCTGTCTCACTGGAGTATACTTGGTATTTAAGGGTGTAGGTTTGTTTTCGGTTGATTCGGGATCAGACTCTGGCTCAAACATGTATGACTGAATTTCACTGGTTGCCATTTTTCAACATTTGGAAGTTTTCAAAACAATTTCACACGTGTAATGGCGGGGGCATTGAAAACTATTTTAATATGCAAAACTGTTACTTAATCATAGCAGTGGCCGTTTACTTGAATGCGGCACACCTACGAAAACTGAGTGTTTCAAAAAGAGGGTCAAAAACAACACTTTGGGCCTACTTCTAAATTAGGATGTTTTTTGGTGTAAAAAAAAAAGCAAATTTGCTAATATTATAAGTGGACCTCAGAGAACATTATAACATTTAAAAAATAGAGTGTATGACCATTTTAAACATGTGAAATCATTATAAAAAATATTATTAATAACAATAATAGTTCAATTCATTATTTTATTAAGCAAATTCATAAAGTGTAATTCTTAATTAAAAAACTAAGAATGTATTTTTCATATGATATTTACAACACTCTGGTGAAAATTTACTGAAGAGCTTTCACTTTTCTTAAAGTTTTCTAAAACTAAAGTTAGGTTGCACGTTGTTACTAGTGTTATTGTTATTTTTATTTAATTTACTTAATGTTATTCATGGGGTTATTAATTAATAATTCCACAAATTAGATGTACATTTCAGACTTTTCATTGAAACCTAGACTAATTGAGTGAAAACATTCAATTTAAATTCGGTGTTGCTATGTAAATTGCTATCTTGCTAAATTAATTTAGCATAGAATGAATTTATCTTTCAGATCATTTTTTAATAGGATTCTGCTTTGTCTGTCACCAGCTATTCAATTATTTAACTATACTGCCAAAAACTATTTTAAATAAAATAGTTGATTTTTGGTATCATTAACGACACCTTTTAAATTATATAAATATTAATAGGAATGATATCAAAAGTAATTTATATACATTATGTAAAATTGTATCCAGCAGGGCTAAACAAAGTGTAAAATTATCTTAAAATTGCCTCTTTAAATAATTGTATCTAACAAAATTTTCCTTACTAACACATTGGCTGATGCATCATCATTCTGCACATGCATATTGTTCTAAAGGGGGGGCATCCTCCCCCATCTTACCACACCTCAGACAGAAAACAACAGACAGATTTTCTTTTTTTAAAATGCTTGTCAGTGTCCGTCATCTCTCATCCCCTACTTCACAGATCAGCATCACATATCATCCCTGTTTTCCCCCAGGACCATGAGGTTGTCAGGACAACCAGTGTGATTCTGATTCCAAGCAGCTAAGATAAGACTCCGCCTCAAGACAGCAGCTGCTGCAGCCATCCGCCAATCAGAGCTGAGCAAGAGGGAAAAAGATGACATCATAGACAAATTAGGGCAAGTTGCAGCAGGTCTTTGTTTGGTGTAACTGCCCGCAGATTAATCAGGGGTAGGCTGGGGTAAAGAGGTGACTTGCCTTGGTGTGCACTCAAGTGAACAATTCTTCAATTATCTATTAATTAACCATGAAAAAGGAGGTTAAAATTACATTGGGTATTTATTTTATTAATATTTGTTGTATCTTTAGCCAGCTTGCGATTTTCTCTAAATGTTTTAGAAATCTGTCATCAGTTATTTTTGTTTGTTTTACTCATTGACAAAAACATACACTTTGGTACAGTGTTGTTATTAGATGTATTTAATACCTATTTTCTGATAGCATGGTACCACATACTTATATTCATATACCGTGGTATTACATTATAACGGTGCCCATAAAAACGAGACTAACAAACATTTACTTAAAATTAAATGTTGTAATAATGTGGTAAAACGTTATTAATAGGCTACTAATGTTTTTACTCTGAATGAAACTGAGTCTGGATTTTTATTTTATTTTATTAATACTGATGTTTTTACTCTGAATGAAACTGAGTGCATATTTTTTTATTATTAATGTTGATGTTTTTACTCTGAATGAAACAGAGTGTGTATTTTTTTTTTTAAATTATTATTAATACTGATGTTTTTACTCCGAATGAAACTGAGTGTGTATTTTTTTTTTATTAATACTGATGTTTTTACTCAGAATGAATTTTTTTTTTTTTTTTTTTGATTTCTTTTTTTAATCCCTACCTTGCTTCCACTCGTCTGTGAAACAGCAGATCCAGTCTTTCTGGCTGCCGCCCTCCCCCTCGCTCCCTCTCTCCCTCTCTCCTAGCAGCTGCCTTTATTAACATGCAGCCCCTTGGCCAATGAGGCTGCGAGGGCTTTGTGACATCACGGGCTAGGGAACAGTAGGCAGGCAGTGAAGCAGGCAGGCAGGCTGCCGACTAAAGCCAGTGAGTCCAGGTTTGGGGGTCAGGAACCGGTCTGACCACAGAATGGAGAGTCTGTGCGTATACTAGGTTTCAGGAAAATATGCTGTGGAGGATGTACATGGAAAACAGAAGGAGGCTTCCACGGATACAGCCAGGGAATGTCAAGACATGTTTCAGGTGAGTTGCTTCTTCTCAAGGGCTCTTTTTTTTGTCTGCGATGACTCGAATACGGATGAGAGAGAGAGAGAGAGAGAGAGAGAGGGAAGGAGGGAAGGAAGGAGGGAAGGAAGGAGGGAAGGAAGGAGGGAGCGAGGGAGGGAGCGCTTTTGCTCGGCTCCTAGCATACGGCCTTTCCAAAGAGGAGATGAAAAGGAAGATGACTGAGGAAAGAGAGAGAAGCTGTGTTAATACATTGTGTCGAGGAGATCCAGTTGTATCCTGGGGTCTGTTGCTGCTGTCAGCTGCCCCTGCCCCTGCCCCATTCCAATGGCAGATGCATCTTTGTTGATGCCACGAATTAACATTGTGGGTGTGTGTGTGTGTGTAATCATAGAATAGCGGCAAATGTGGAAACAAAAAGCACTGCTATTTTTGCCACTGAAATTCAAAGCTGCATTTGTTTCTATGTGGATGTATCCATTCTAAATGATGAATCTTGTTCCTTGTTCCATTGGTGCTACAGCTGGATAGATGCAGAAAAGGGTGGATAGATGGTTCAGTAGACAGACTGATGTCATTGGTGGTCGTATACGACCTTTTGTTAGACTGCACATGTCTGGATTTGGGTCTTTTATATAGAACGCTTCAGGATGATTGATTTTTTTTACCTCTGCCAAGCCTGCGCAGACGCACAAGAGGACACACACACACACACACACACACACACACACACACACACACACACACACACACACACACACACACACACACACACACACACACACACACACACACACACACACACACACGTTGTGTTTTATTGTGACTTTCATAGACATAATGATTTGTATACTGTACAAACTAGGCTATATTCTATCACCTTACACTAACCCTACCCCTAAACCTCCAAAACTTTCTGCATTTTTAATTTTTCAGAAAACATCGATCATAGTATGATGTATACGCTGTTATTATTATTATTATTACCAAAAAATGTCCCCACAAGGATTTGAGATCTTGCCATCTTTGTAGGGACATTTTGTTCCCATAATATAGGGTTTACCAGGCCACACTCACAGATACACATTTTAGGACATCCTTATAGATGTATTTTTTAGATATAGAGTATCAGAAAGAAAGAGCAAGGACCAGTGATCTGTGCAGATCTCTACTGGGTGGAGGATGGCATTGTGGGGGATTTCATTCATTAACATATGTGTCCTGTGGGATAGGGGTGTTATGTGTGTGAGTGGTGGAGTGTGTGATCATGTGTTGGGGCTTGTACACAAAGACCTGACAGCTACACTAATTATGCAGTAATTAGGGATGCGCTGGCATAGGAAATTTGGCCAATAATGATAAACCAAAAATTAATATTAGGTTATGGTTGATAATAACCATAATGATGGGAGATAACCTGTATCTTTTTATCTATTTCACACAAATTTTGAATTTTGTGAAACCACACTTCAAAACATTAGAACATATAGTGGTTACAATTCTTTTTGTAGAAAGGTTAGTTAAGTTTTAGGGCAACGTCAAAAAAGTGGGGGTAAAAGTGATTATGCATCAAAACATGATGCATAATAGAAAAGATAGATGGTCTGCCATAAATAACTGCTTATTAAATTGTAAAGGTAGTTTTATCTGCTTCTAACATCAACTTAATCAAACTTGATTAAATACATATTTCTATTGACGGCTAATTAATCAATATATTGTGCATCCCTATATCTAATTTACAGCACACAGCAATAGACAGTATACAGTACACCTCTTCAAGGAAGAGGAAGAGCTCCTCTACAGAGAATAATGCTTTGGATTTTGTGGGGGTTTCCCTCTCATAACCCTTCATTTGTTTGTTGGTTCATATGTTTGTATAATATCATATTCTGTGTGTTTCCTGTTATATGTATTCATCTGTTGAACTACAACCCCAGTCCCGTTTCTCTTACCGTTTTTTTTATTTATTTTTTAACTGAAGTAGAAAATATATAATGAGCAAAAGAAGCCAGATCAGCACAACCATAATAACAAGAAGCTGGGAGCACTGTGTGTATCTTTAGATGAGGTTGACATTAACAGAACCTAAACCATCATCTGATTCAATTGCGGTTTACAGACATTTGACATCCTTTTCCTAAATTGAGAATAGCATCTGCAGTTTTATTTCCAGGGGCAAATATGGATAATTTTTTATCCATATTTGTTAATTGTGGTTTTATATTTCTCACTTGTGACAATTCTTTTTTTATTTACATGACTTTTTTTTACTGTAATCTAAAATTATGCCTGAAAAAAATAATAATTTATTTTCTCATAATTGCTAATTTATTTTGTTTTGAATTGCAACTTGTCAAGGTGCTGCTGATAATTTTTTTTAAATATAAATGCATAAATAAATGTTACCGACAATTACTGGCACACATTTAAGCAGTTTTTACTGTTGATATCTCTTTTACTTTTTCCAATATTGTAAGCCTGGCAGTCAGAGGCTCTGGCGATCTGGCCCTATTAGCCCAAGCCATAAGCTATCCTTGACTGTCAGAGCACTGCATCACTCATTCATAGGCCCCTCAACTGACTAAAAATCCAAAGCAGGGTCCTTATAAGATGGCTGTTGTTTTCATAGCATAGATTTTAAAACGTGTAAACATTTGTCAGACATCAGGACGCGGTGTTGCTGGAGCCTAACCCAGCATCTCAGGCCGAGGGCAGGAAAACACCCTGGATGGATGGCCTGTCCATCACATGACTAACACACACACAGACATACACACTAACCAACTAGCTCACATGCACCACCAATTCATACTACAGCCTTTTACAATGAAATATAAACCTGATGCAAACCACAATCTTAGGTGGTAGCCTATGAAAATTTCTGAAATGATTTTTCAATTAGTTTCTTCAATCATATACTGAACTATATGGATTTTTGCTTTATTGTGCACAGGTTTTATTTGTGATGCTGTATGTTTTAAAGTAAATGTTTCTTCTTCTGTGATTTAAGGTTTAAACTTTAGCGGAGCTCTTTATATTTCTATGTAACCCCATGGAGTCTGCATGTGTCTTTAGTAATGTATAAGGTCAAGGTTTATTGGACTGGGGATTTTGTGGATAGATTGGCCTGTGGATACCGGAGGCAAATATTTAGAATGTGCAGAGAGTGATGGGGCTAAAGTATGTGTGTGTGTGTGTCAAATGTGAATATGTGTGTTGGGGGATTTTCCGAATAGGAGGTTTTTTGGGGGGTACTACAGGCTAAGTGTTTCAGCAGCTTGTGAATGTGTGAGTTAGCATAAATCTGCTGTCTGTGAGAATTGGTGGGCATCTGTTATGTTGTGAATGAAAAGCAAGTTGTTTGTCTTGTCATATATGCATCTGTGCATACATGTGTAAAGAGTCTCACTTCTATTTGGCTCCATTAATAAAGCTTAGGGGTGGGCGATATATTTAATAATATAAGTATAGGCCTAATTTTATTTCATGATAACAAAATGTATATATTTTATATATATATATATATTTTTAAAATCTGTCTTATCATAAATAACAAAGATGCAAAAAACAAACGATAGGGCAAATACAATATACACTATCTTTTTTTTTTTTTTTTTTAGCCAAACGCTGGGTTGAGCCTGTTGGGTAAATTTTGGGGGGAATTTTTTCCCCCAGTATTAGGTCGTTTTTGTGTTACCCAGCTATTGGGTTAACGGCTGGGTCTATCTAACTGACAGATTCAATACACCCCTCCCCCACCCTCCGACTTAACAACCCAGCAGCAGCGTTACTACAACCCAGCTGTTGAGTTACAGAGCGCAGGCTTTTTGGGAAAGAGCAGGAGAGAGCAGTTCTCAGCGCTGCCCAAAATTGGTACAGGTCATCTGTGAAATATACGTGTCTGGAGTGGACTATGCTTTGCTTTCATTGTGTTTTGTTCCTGTCTTGACCTAGTTACTATTCTGTGTCAGTTTCATTCAGTTCACCTGTTGTTCATTTATTAGCTCATTAGTTCCTCGTTTGGTCTTGTGTGTGTGTGTGTATATATGTGTGTGTGTATATATATTAGGGGTGTAATGGTACATGTATTCGTATTGAACCGTTTCGGTACGAGGCTTCCGGTTCGGTACGCATACAAACCGAACGATTCCTTGGACCATTTTTCCTGCCGACAAAATCCACGCTGGCGCGACGGCGCAACCACCACAACGGTGCGCAACATCAAATGGCAAACGTAATGAAAGTGGAACGAAACTGCGCTACTCATTATATTGTGCTTCACGGACCGTTTATCAGTTCGGATCAGCAACATCTGTGCAGCGCGAGATCAAGCGAAGAGATCCAGTGAAGAAAACATTTGAATTCGCCACTGAAGTAATAACATCGCTGCGAGATCTAGTGAGAAGCATTCAAATTTCTCCGTTATTAACCGTAGATCTCTATCAGATCAAACAGCGCTGAAGTGGGAACAAGTAGAAACACTGTGCCGTGAATTATCTAGTTAGAGGCTTTAAGTCCACAGATCAGCAACATTCACCATGGATTTAATATAGTAACACTACCATGGAAGTTTGGCTCGAATAGTGAAATGCTTTCAAGTACTTCACACATCTTTTTCCAGCACTTCAAGACTAAAATATTATCTAAATATTATATACATAAATATAGGCCTATATTTAAATGTTATTTTTAATGTGATGACCAAAACATTATTTGTTCATCCTTCAAAGATTACCCCCATTTATAAACCTGAAAGTTTTAAGATGTAGGAAAACTCAAACTTATTTAAAAATATTTTTTCTTTTAATAAATAGGAAATTTCTCTGGCATTTCTTTCTTTTTGCTGTATCGAAAATGTACCGAACCGTGACTCCACTGTATCGTATCGAACCGAACCGTGAATTTTGTGAACCGTTACACCCCTAATATATATATATATATATATACACTCTCCCTGTTTGGTTCAGTTCTTTGTCCGGTCTCATTAATGTAAGCGGTTGTATTTTCCCTTTTCT